TCGAAACTTTATTCCACTATCACACACACGGAAAAAGTGTAAATACAGAATCACCTTGTGCAAATGGTCCATTTATATTTATATATATTATAAATATGGTATATTTATGATATGAAAAAGTTCTGGGAAATAATCTCTATGTCTCTATATAATTATATAAATACGTTCAGAATGAGACATTAAACCTGGATTTATTCTTCATTATGTATTTACTGGATGATCAGGGGTGCAATGATTAGTATTTCTGGTTTCGAATTCCAGTCGAGATCGTTACATTTACTTACATGCAAATATCCTTTGGAAAGTAATACATCCATCATTCCGCCACCTCCCGGCCATGGGTAAATAGTAAGACATACGGGACTCTATGGTCCTGGTTGACAACCAGCCTAGAAGAAGGAAATAATAATAAATAATAAGGAAACACACACACACACACACACACACACACACACACACACACACACACACATATATATATATATATATATATATATATATATATATATATATATATATATATATATATATATATATATATATATTTCGGCAGCATGTTTTCATTGCGACATGTTTGGGTGAATAATTTAGACATGTACTGTCTATTTATTTTCGATAGGATCATTTCATATTCATGGATAATAAATTAGTTATCTCCCCTTAAACGGTTTCAGCAGTCACGCTCTCACTCTACACATAAGACATTTAATTTTCAGAATATCACAATTTTTGTCTTTCACACTAATGAGCATTACAGCATTATTTCTATTTCTCAATATAATTATATAAATACATTCAGAAAGTGACATTAAACCTGCATTTATTCTTCGTTATGTATTCAGTGGATGCTCAGGTATGCAATGGTTAGTATCTCTAGGTTCGAATTCCAGTCAATATCGTTACATTTACTTATGTGCAAATATCCTTTGAAAAGGAATAAATCCATCATTCCTCCACCTCCGCCTGGCTATCTGTCCCCATAAAAAAAAATAAAAAAAAAGGAAAAAATCCTTGATGCTTCGGCAGCAATTAATGTGGTACCCAGGCGACCTAAATGAACTATTAGACAGAATGGGGAACTTCGAGAAATATGTCATAAATTTAGTGGGATTTCCAAATACCGTATCTAAAAATGACTTTTGAAAAGGATATCGACCGATTTCATAGGTAAGCATTTGAACTTACTTTTTTTTTCTTTAAATTTTAGAACGGAATATTTCAGAGACTGACACCAGTAACTAAAAATCTATATAAATAAGATACAGTAAATTTGAAGAATTTCTTATGCGTTTAAAACAAAGTAAAATGATTAGGATAATGGTCTGATATAGATATTACTATTTTGGAAAGATTAAAACCGTTATTATACAACTCAACTTTACAAACTAAAAAAGGTCATAGACATTGATTCGTATTACTATTTTGGTAATGCTTTTAGTATTTCTTGCAACTATGATTGAAATATTTATTAAATGTATCTTTTGGGGAAAAAAAACTAAATATTTTTACTTAAAGTTTTAAAAGATAATTCCCTGGAGAAACATAATCAGTTGAATATTTTGCAAAAAAGAAAAAGATCGAAGCGCTGAGTCTTAAATTACTGACTATATTTGAAAATAAATATAAAAGTTTAAAATTGCATTATATTTGGCTTGAGATTTGAATATTTTACATTTATTTATAAAATTGTATCGTATATTTCGTATTATATTTGTAAAGAAAAAATATTCGCATATAAAACTGCAATTGAATCCTGTGTATGCAACAACAATTGTAAGTCAAATTGCGACAGCTTGTATTGTCTTCGCTTTTCCCGCCACAGCTTACTTCCGGAGAATTTGCATTGCTATAACGCACCATAACCAATTTATAGTAACTTTCTTGCACTTACACTACTCCATTTGTCATCTGGCAGCAAGACCTCTGATCGAAAGTTTAGATTGGCGTGTCTCAGTTATAGGAAAATTGCCGGTGCAGAATTAAATTAATCTCGGAATTAATTTCAACTCGGAACTAAATGTTAGAGTAAGGGGTTAGGGTTAGGTTTTTTAAATTGAAAATTAATTCCGAGTTGAAATTAGTTCCGACGTGAAATTAATTCCGAGGTGAAATTAGTTCCGACGTGAAATTACTTCTGTCACACGAAAATTGTGTTTTAATTTTTGTTTCACGGTTCATTATGGTAAAAATACCAGCAATATATTTATAAAAAAAATATGACACAATGTAATATATCTTTATAGAAAAATAACAATGAACACAGCACTAAAGTATATAAATACATTTTTATATTAAAATTACGAGCAATATATTTCGCCCTCTACATTTATCTAAACCTATGTTTTCATTGAATATATAAAATTATGTAAAAATATCTAGTGAAAACCATAAAACTACGTACACGATATTTAGATTTAGGCATTAATTAACACATAGAGGTGTTGATATGCCGCTAAACAAAGAACTATTCATTTACCAAGGCAATTTTAACATTAACTCGCCCTAAACATCTGAAAAGTTACGTGAAAGAAGGAACTCTTCAGATTTAAAGATATAAAATAGCTAATTTACTAATATCCGACGACCTCTTACATCCCAGAATAATTTGATTAAAACGCATATATTGAATTATGCTTTAAAAGTGTTGTCCTCAGGGAGCTTCAAAGACAAAATTAGTAACAATCATTCTACGGTAGGCGTCCCATCTTATGCAAGTGGAGTTGTTTCTACTGTTGTTGTGTATGAATGACGATTCAGTGGAACTATTCAGAGAAACAGATTCTGTTTCTAGGCAATAAGATGTAAACGCGTTGTAAATAACAGCAAGTGATAATTTATGACTTTTCGTTTTTTATGGTATAAATTCAAACAGAAGAAATCATTACATTCTTCAGGAAAATGGCGCCATGAAAATAGGTTGACCTTGTTCTGTAAATCCCTTTAAAGTTTTTGAACGTACTAAGACTGTAATTAGGTAACGAAATGAAAATAAAGAAGTATCAGCTTTACAAAAAAAAAAAAAAAAAAAAAGAAAGAAAAGAAAAAGAAAAGAAAAAAGTCCACAATATTGAATAGATCTTCTAATTCATAATCAATGACAAGGAGTTGGTTAGGTTGTCGTTGATTTTTAGCGCCATATCAACACCTCCATAGGTTAATTAATGGCGAAACCTAAAGATCTGGAAGACAGTTGTATGCCTTCGATAAGACATGAAATGTATTGATGGCAATTCTACTACAAATCGGTATATTACTGGTATTTTTAGTATCAACAAAGAATTGCTGGTATATTTACTATAAGAATGTATTGTTATATGTTCCTAGTTTTTTTTTTTTTTGTTTCTTTGATGGGGCTGGGTGTTCAGTATTTGACCATAGCTGGCACCCTAATATATCCTCCAGTCCCAAGGTAAGAGAGGATTTTTAAAGAACATCAATTTGGAGGTGATTCCACGCAATCAGAGGCCTTGCTTACCGGATCTAGTCTATCGTCATACCCAGAATTGGCATCAAGAAAGCGAAACAAACTAGCCGACAAATTGACTGAAAGAGACAAACAGAAACATAAAAAAGGGGGAAAATAGAGAACATGATTGTACAAAAGAAATTAGAATTGATGCAGGGAATAGAAAATTTCTTTATACTAATGTTCACCCAATACAAGACCCAAGCGCCACTCAATACAGAGTGTAACTGTGAGTTATTGTATGAGCATAAGATAAGACAAGAAGGGAAGTTAATGGGGTTATGCAAGAAAATTAACGGTTAACCCTAGACTTGAAGAGGTCAAAATTGTAGTGATTGGGAAAACATTCAACCGAGAATTTATTAGATAAAATATTTTATATTAATGTTCACCCACTACCAGTTCCAAGAGCCATTCAAAGTAGAAAGTTAGAATATCGTGTTGTATGATCCTGAGAAAAGGCAAGAAGTGAAGTTCATAGGATTGCATAGGAAAGATAGCAGTTAACCCTAGACATGAAGAGCTCAAGATAGTAGTGATTGGCGCAAACATCCTGCAAGGAAGCAGTTCATAGCACGAAGATGTCCGAGTTTTGCAAATGGAATACGAAGAGAATGCTGATGTCATCCTTACTGTATCCTTTTCTTTCTATCGAAATAAAAACAGTGTGTGTATTGGGGGGTCAGATCGTAGGAAATTAGATAAAGTACAAAAAATAAAGGTAAAAACGAAGATAGGCAAACATGGTCGCATTAGACGGATATATATATATATATATATATATATATATATATATATATATATATATACATACATATGTGAGTGTGTATCTATCTATCTATCTATTTATTTATCTATCTATCTATCTATCTATCTATCTATCTATCTATCTATCTATCTATCTATCTCTCTCTCTCTATATATATATATATATATATATATATATATATATATTAAGAAATATAGTTTTAAGGTGTGGTATATTTAGGGGATAAAGTGTTCAATATCAGAGATTCAGCGTATGTAAATGCAAAAGGATCATTGGTGTCAACACTCAGAGGCGACAGGCTGTTTTTCACTAGACGCAATCATCAGGCCATATATATATATATATGTGTATATATATATATATATATATATATATATATATATATATATATATATATATATATATATATATATATATATATATATATGCATAAAGTGAAAGAAAGGGTATGTGTTTCTTAATACGTACGTAATTTAAATTGATACACAATATCGACAGTGGGTGGTTAGAAAATCTTGTCATCGCCTATCAAAAAGTAATGAGAATAATAGAAATAATAATGAATTCATGACGCACATTCTCTATGCTCTTAACAGAAGGCACATGTTTATGTGTCAATACACTTGCAAGCAGCGTCACTTCCAAACTCTAGAAGCTCGTATCAGCCATTTGAAATAGAAAATTATATTATATATGGGTTAACTAGATTTTCGGACCACCCGGTACAATAAATAAAGAGAGGAGGGGGGTAAAAGATCGACATACATTGAGAGTAGCCGAGACACAGAAGAGTGAGATAAAACGAGGGAAAATATAAAGAGTTGCGGAGAAAGCCATTTAAAAAATGACTGACCATGAGTGCCACTGTTGTTGTGGATGAGTGCACGAGGACTCGCGTATGTTTGCATAGCACTGGTTGGAAATTATAACGTAAATACAGGGTGTGATGAATAAAGGGTCGTCTAAATTACACAAAAGTTAAAATAACGCTGCCAACCCATTTAAACAGATATATTTATCAAAATAACATAAAACATTCTTGAAATTCGAAATAGTAAATTTATTCAACAGAAATCTCCATTAACTTCAACCACAGCCTCCAGACGATCTCGGAATATCCTGTATCTCTTCAGGACGGTCTCCATGTTAAATTTATTGAATGCTGCCATACTCTTTGCTTTCAGTTCTTCTTTGGTGGTAAAAGGATTTCTCTCCTTCAAATGCACCCTACACGTAATAATATAGGGGTTTGTAGTCTAGGGAGTTATTTAGCAAGATGTAAATGGTGATGTGGTCGTAAAAATTATCTGATATCCAGGATAGGATTCTCTTACTTGTGTGGCATGGTCCATAGTCCTGTTGCCAGATATAGAGATTTCCAGTAGCCAACCTCTTGAACCAGGGCAGCACTACCTCCTCAATGAACTTGATGTAGGGCTGCGTGTTGAGTGAGGCCGTCGGGAGATGAATTGAGGCATGACGTCGCTATCATTAGTAATCACCCTAAACACCTTCGTAATCACCATTAGATTCATCCAACTCTCTGCTCTGTCATCGGATAGACACCCCAAAACTCTGGGAACGTCCAGCATGAATACTAAGCATTACAACATCTTTTTATTCAAATTTCTGGCAGAGTGAATTGCGTCAAGGTGCTCTTTTTCTTACAGATGGTGCCAAACTACCCCTACTGTACTGTGCAGCCGGCAAAATCCAAAACAAACAATGCGCATGCTCGAAATTTAAAATGGCGACAATATAACCAACGCACCCTGTATACTGCTGGCCAAAGGCAAATGAAAATAAAGAAAGACAGATACGTTTTCGGTTGAAAAATGAAAAGAAAAAAAAAGCAAAGATTAAATTTAAAATCTCTTTTAGCTTTTAATAGAGACAATTTGAATACTGTAAATTTTGGCTAAATAGAAGTTGGTCATTTTCATTGACGTTAAAAATTTGACCACAACAAGCCAAATGATTCCGATATCAGCGAAGGTTTTATAAAGGGAATAATTAGTCCGACATGTTAAAACAAATATTAACAATAGTCACGGGAGTACCGGATGAAGAATAATAGAAGAAAATAATATAATTTATCCATTGTTTGTTTAGTGTAACGCTTCATATTTTATACCAGCTCGATGGATTATCTGTGTCTTTACATCTGTGATTATTATAGAAAAAAGGAGGACGGTAGAAAGAGAGTGAGACGGGGGTGGGGAGAGAGAGAGAGAGAGAGAAATAAAACAAAAGAGAATAAAGGAAGCCAAAATTGGATTATCGCGTAGACAGGGAATCAGTAAAACAATTCCTAGGAAACAGTTTTCCTCGAAGTGTTTCAAAATAGTTTTATCCCCCACAGAATAGAAAAAACAAACCAAATAAAGTATATAAAAAAAGAAAAGAAATAAATCAATCAGTAAAAGAGAAATAAAATGCATTTATCTGTTTTATATCTACAGGGAAAAAAATTGATATATGCATATCCATATTAAGCGCAAACACGCAAATGTAAACACAGAGACACACACGCATATAAATATATTCTTGCATAAATATATGCATGCGGGAGTGTAAGTATATATGATTTTTTTCTAATGAAGAATGCTTACTAGACATGATAAACAAAGTAATATAGTTACAACCTTTCCCAAATCAATCAACAAAGTTAGTATAATTTTGTTGCGAAGTTATGGCGGTTATATATTTTATTCCCAATATTTAAAGACAAAAGTTTATATATATATATATATATATATATATATATATATATATATACTTTAATTCAGCTTCATCCCAACGGCTTTTGGGGTAGATTCCCCGACTGACGCCAATTCAGCCAGGTTTTGATCCTAGATAGAGACAACCAGAGGTCTAGCCACAACGTGAATGACAATATATATATATATATATATATATATATATATATATATATATATATATATAATTTTTTTAAGTTATTAGAACAAAAAATGTTGAAATCGCTACACAGTAGTTTTTGTGTGTTGGCACAACGTTGTGACTCTTCGTGTAATGCTAAGTAACTTGTGATTAAAAAAATTTTAAGAAAATTTTAAAAAGAAAGTTTTTACGCCTTTTCCGAAAGATAAAGGCGGAGGTGACAAAACAGAAGTGCAGAAAAAAAAAATCAGTTGGGTTTGTCTTTGATCAACAAATTAAATATCAGATCTACGCTAAATTGAAAATTAATCTCACAGGTTGGTAGTAGGGATATATATATATATATATATATATATATATATATATATATATATATATATATATATATATTTTTTTTTGATATGATAAACCGGAACTTAGCAAGAAATCATTGACAATTACAGGAAACATGTAAGCAAGAATTTATGGTGATTGTAATGACATGTTTTTGTTCCAATATCTTATAAAAAAAAATAATAATAATATATTGCTCTATTGTGTATTGATCCCTTTTTTAATGGAAATGCTATTAACAACTAAATTTTAAATCATATCATCTTCCCTCGCATTTGAATATATATATATACATCTGTGTGTGTGTATATACATATATATATATATATATATATATATATATATATATATATATATATATATATTCCCATTATTTAAAGACACAATTTTCGATATAATTTATATATATATATATATATATATATACATAATACATATATATGTATATATATATATTGCCTGTCGCCTGTAAGTGTTGATTTCAATATTCACTTTTTATATTTAATTTCTATACGCTCTATCTCTGATATTGAGCACTTTATCCTATAAATATAGCACACCTTAAATTGTGCATGAAACTCTGAGACGTGTTATATATATTTTGAGAGAGAGAGAAAGAAAGAGAAAGAGAGAAAGAGAGAGAGAGAGAGTAACTGATTTAATCGTTATTTTATCCGCAGTAAATTTACTTCAAGTTTCTAGCAAAGTTTTAACTTTCTTGGTAGATTTGTATCATCCTAATGTGGCATATTTAACAACAAATCTGATAGTAACATCAACGTAAATTTCAATATGGTCCTATAAAATACCAAAGGACGAAACATGTGTGATTGTGCGTGGGTGGTATTAGTAGTAGTAGTTATAGTAGTAGTAATAGTAGTAGTAATAGTATTAGTAGTAGTAGTAGTTCGATAATGTCAAATTGACAGCTAATGTCTTAAATGACATTTAGTCTGTTGTTAACAGGGATAAAGAAGGCATTGCTAATTTTAAAACCGCTCCCTATGAATCATCCTAGTAACCTCTTTCTCCATTTCATCAGCATGACTGATGCTAATGTCTGAGGAGAGTGTCTTGTTATGCCTTCTAGGGCTAATATTCTCGGTTGACTTAGGTGGATTTCTATATTAAATTTATTCCGAGGGCAGCTGCGAAGAAGTTGGTTGTCTGCGTTGTGCTAGAGAATTTTTTCTCTCTTGAATCTATCTTACATATCTATAAGATTACCACTTTTCCATATTTAGAATACTGCAGCCACGTCTTTTTTTTTTTTTTTTTGTTCCTGTTATATATTTAGAGATCGTTGATAAATTTTTAAGATGCATCAACAATATTATTGGTCCTGACCTGGTGTCTTGGTTTCAGACACTTTCTCACCGCCGTAAAGTTGCCTCACTGTGTCCTTTCGTTTGGCAATTGTTCAGATAGGGTCTTCCCTATTGTACCTAGACCTTTTTAAGCAATGACAAGACTGTCGACTTGTTTGATCAATTTAGAATCAAGTCGGCGACATTTAACCCTATGTTCGATTCTAAGTTTCTTTTGTCACATTTCTCACTTGTGGGACTTCATTCTGGTTGAATGTTTTCTGCTCATCCTTAATTGAGGAATGTGGAAGAACAGCATAATTGGTCTTGTTCCCTGGTCCAACCTGGCCCGATATGGTAACACCTGTTAGGGTCAGGCTATGGAAAAACAGTGAACCGCCTAGTAAAAATCAACAGTAGATGTTTATAATAAAATGGAAAACAATGCATTTTCATAGTAAACTGACAATCAATGCAATACTAAAAAAATATAAAGATACATTTTTATAGTGAAATTACCAACAATAATTTTTATGAGATACAAAATATGTAAAAGAACATACCTTTACTATGAAAGTATAAGATTATGTAAAAATATCATTAGTTGGAAGCATAACATTACGTCCAAAATATTTAGATTTCGGTATTTAATATCGAACAGAGGTTGATATGCTGCCAAATAAAATCAAACAAAGAATATAAAACAACTCTTTCATGATATTAGTTCAATATCCTAAAATTCATTAAAAAATTTCAAACTGTATTCTAAAATATAACGTCATCAAAGGGCACTTCGACGTGATGTAATGGTTAGGAATTTTGTCTTGCTAGATCAATTACGACTGAGTAGTGAGTTCGATCCTCACTAGGTGCGCCATACTTTCGGCCTTGTGCCACATCTAAGCTGGGTTTAGAAAATCACTATAACGTCAACGAAGTTAATCACAAAACACACATCACCACCTCTAATAATCTTGTCCACACAAACATGTATATGCACAAAAGCTGAATATCTTCTACCATGTATTCACTTGTGAAAACAGAATAACGTATATCTTTTTTTTTACTTCTAATCTCACAAAAAATTTAAATTTCGGCTATAATGACCAATACAGTGTTGATATACCGTTAAAAAACAACAAAAACTTCTTATGACCTTGTTATAAGCTACAATTTACAAGGTCATCGTTTCAGTTTAAAGATGCTCACTTTATGATACTTTTCATTCCTTTTCTTTAAGTTGAAACATTCGTCGTTATATTTATCCCTATAAGTATAGCTTTTTGCGTTTGGTGATTTCAGTCACACCGTTCTTCATTCAATTTAATATACGGTAACGTGTAGTCACATCATTAAATTACTATTTA